AAAGACAAATTTGTATATTTAAATTGTTTTATTAATTAGTTTCATATAATCTATATTTCAATATGTATTTCAAATACTAAATTGTAATTTGAATAAAAAAATACATTTATAAAATTATTTGTTTATATTATATTGTTAAATTAAATTTCTAATAAAAATACAAGTTTATATATTTAAATTATTTTAATAAAATATATATTTCAATATTTATTAACAATATGAAAATGTAATTTAAATTAAAAATATTATATTTATAAAATTATTAATTTATAATATATATCGTTAAATGAAATTTTTAATGAAAATACTAGTTTATAAATTTAAATTATTTTAATAATTATTTTAATATAATATATAATTTAATATATATTTCAAAAACTAATTTTTTTTAAATAAAAAAATTATACTTACATAATTATTAGTTTATATTATATATTATTAATTTAAATTTCTAATAAAAAGATAAGATAAGATTAAATAAGATAATTTAAAATTATTTTAATAATTTACATAATTTAAGAATTATAATCATAATTAATTCATACTTATTATCTTTAAATTATATTTAAAAAAAAATTAATTGAATTGATAATTATATAATGTTAAAAATAAAAATAACAAAACTGCTGCAAATGATATTTAATAAAAAATTATTATAATTTATTATAAATAATTTAAATGAACTTCAAAATTTTTTAAGTTAAATGTTGAAAATAGAAAAAAGAATATTGATTAAATTGTACAAAAATACTTTTCAAAAAATTTGATGAAATTCTCGAGTTATCTTTTAATTATAAATAAAAATATATCTTTGTTTTTAACTTCTATTTAACATTTGAATGTTAATTATTGTTTTATGTTATATACTATTAAATTAAATTTTTAATAAAAAGACAAGTAAACTATAATACAAATAAAAAAATAACTTTTATTATATTAATTTTTTATTTTCTAACCTTTCATATATCGCCAAATAGAACTTTATTTCTACTTATATAAGTCATATTTACACAATTTTTAAAAACTTACTCACAATTCTTGTTATTGTTATTCTTTTTCATTATATTTTACAATTATGTCAGCGGTCAAGAATTATCTACTTATGTAAGTAGATGTATTTTTTAGTTTGATATTTTTTTTGTTTCACTAAATTATGTTATATATTTTAATTTAATTTTTTGAGTAAACATAAGTTTGTACTTTTTTAAAATGATATCATGTATTGAATTTTATTTTTAACTGATTAATTTGTATCAAATTTATCATTATTTTTCATGCTTTTGTAGAGAAACAACAAGTTGCGTAATGAAGATAAATAGACCTTTTTTAACGATCTGAATTTAACAGCAGATGATTGTATCAAACCTATATCTCCAACCGTGAAAACACCAAATTTACTAAAACGAAGGAGAAATTAATGTATAAATTATAAATTTGTAATGTATTGTTTAAATTTCTTAGATGATACAATAATTTATATTTGACATTTTCTATTAGATCGCAACTTGAGGAAGATGAAACAAAAAATGGTGAATAAAATGTAACAATGAAAGATTTAGAAGATTGAACCATTTCTATTACAATATTGTATAAATACTTTTAATATTGTGTAGAATTTGATAAGTAAAATATCACAAAATATTTTTTTCTTTTAAAAAATAATTTTGCTATCTTATTATATATATATATATATATATATATATCTTATTTTATTATTATATATATTATGTATTGACTTTATTCTTAATATAAAATTTTGTTTAAAATTTATATGTAACTCATAAATTTTATATTATATCAATATTTGTAATTCTAATTGATATAAAGATTAATTTTTATATTAAATAAAATTATTATTATCTTTTAATTTCTACCTAAATCTTAATTGAAAATTTTTTTAACTACTTTTTTTTCTCTACTTCTATTATTTTATTTTTTATAAAAAATAATTTAATAGGAATTGAGTTATCATAATTATGTATAACCTATTAATGTAGATAATATTTTATTTATATTTTATATTATAATAATTACGATGACAAATTTAATTTTTTTAAATTAGAAAATTAACAATATTTTTTTACTTAATGATTTTGTTGCAATTTCTTTTATAAAATGTTATAATGATAATGATAAATTCAAATTAAATTATTAAACAAGAGCTTATGTATCATGTAGAATTTTTGAATACTTTAAATTTTAATAGATTTCCTCCCCCTGCAACTCAAAGAAGAAATGTGAATTATGCAACTTAAGAACATTAATCTCATATTAGGAATGTGCAATGGAACAAGACTCCTTATCAATAATAATTATTAAATTATGTTGGATTATATTTGCCAAAACTTATATTTAATCATGGTTAATTATATGTTTGTTGTATTGTTTAAAATAATGTGAACAAAAAAAAATAGTTATTATTAAAGAAAATAAAAAATATATAGAATATACAAAAAATATTATATATAAAAAAATATTTTATAATCTTCCTTAGTATAATTATATTTAATATAATAATTTTTTAATCATATTTATATATTTAAATTATATATTTTATATTTAAAAATAAATTAAATTTAATAAAAATAAAATAAATCTGTGCAATGCACGAGCATATTTACTAGTATTAAGTATTCTTAATTACTTACAAAACATTAATTATAATGTATATAATACTTTTAATTATTAAATTTATAACTATTTAATATGTTTAAGTTAAATTATATTTTTAGTCCTTTACATTTACTTGAGACTCAATTTAATTTTTTATTTTTTAGTTTAATATAATTTGATTATTTATAAATTTTATTTTAATGTAAATTTTCAATCATTTATGAAAATTTTTACCATTGAAAATTATTTTTTAAAATTTACTAAAACTAATAGCTTACTAAAAAATAAAAAATAAAAATTTAAATATCTAAATTAAAAAAAAATTAAAATGAGACTTTGAACAAAAGGTAACTATGCATATTAATATATATTTTTTTAAGGTTTTTAATCAAATTGTCGAGCACTTAATTTTTAAAAGTAATTTTTAAGGTACATTATAAATTGAAAAAAATTCTATATCATCTTATAAATGAAATAATTATTACCGCTAAATTTATATTAATAGATAATAAAATTAGTAATTTATTTAAAAAATATATAAATATTTTTAATTTTTAAATATTAGATAAATTATAATAATTATTTTTGAGAGTATATAATATCCTTTTAAATTTATAAATACCTAACAGATACCATTTTTAAAACTGTTATGTTTTAGATTTTGAATAGTCCAAAAATAATAAGTTAAAATTATTTATCAACATGAGTAAGGTAAAGTGATATATATTTAATTTATTTAAAATAAGTTAGAGTTTTTAGTGTTGTGTATGAAATTTTTTTTCACTGAAAAAACTAATCCCACCAAATTGTGAATATTTTTTACTTTAACATAATAATATTTTATGAAATATATTTTCAGTTTACTTTTGAAAAATTTAAAATAATATAAAATATAAAAATTTATAATTTTTTAATCTTTAACATAATTTGTTAAAAAAATTTAATATTTGTTAGAGTATATTATAAAATATTAATAAAATAAATTTTTATTAAAATAATAATATTTATTATTATTATTATTATTATTATTATTATTATTATTATTATTATTGTATTCGATTAGTAATATTTTCTAATTTTTAATTAAAAATATTATCTGTAATCTTTAAAATTGAGTTTAAACAACTAAAATTTTTGTAGAAAAAAGTACAATTGTTTCTTTATAATTTTGATGTAATAAATATTTTGTATAACAAATATTATTTCTAAATATTTAAATTTAATTTAAAAATTAAAACTGATAAATTCTTAAATTTCATTAAATTTAAATGTATGAAAATAAGAATTCAACATTAAGTATATAGATGAATTGAGTTGTATTAAATACTTAAAGAAAGAATTATATCATTTATAATATTTTTATTTATTTCGAATAATTGTTTATTAAAATATATTTTTATATTAAAGTTATAAAGATGTAATAATTATTTATTTTTAATAAAATATATTTTTAAATACTTAAATTTAACATGTTGATATTTTTATTATATACCTTTAAATATATGTTAGAAAAATTATTCATTAAATGTTAGGATGTGATATTTGTAAGAGGATTTGGCATTACCTGATTTCTTAAGAATTAAGGTGAGATGAGACAATAAATGAAGAGTTAAAGTAAAATTGAATCATATATAAAAGAAACTACCCTTATTAAATAAAAGTTTTACTTCGATTATTAAATGTAATTTAATAACTCCTGGTTTGAAACTCACATTTATTAATGAGTTTGAAATAATAATAAAATTAATAATTTTTGAATAGAAAGAGTAGAAGCAAGTGAAGAGAAAGACAAAGATGGTTAAATAAAAGTGAAACGGTTGCTGAGTTGTGAAAGGAAAGCTACCATAAAAAACAGAGAGAGAAAGAAACTCAAACAGAAGAACAGCTATGCAAACACAGCAAGTTTGCAATTGCAACAAACACGTGCTCCATAACGCCCATAAGCGGTTAGGTTAACCCAGGAAACGCGACTCTATAACATCACTCTGACACAGGACTCAATGTGGACCCTACAACCCTTCTTTTATTATTACTTTTTTACCATTAAAATAATATTATTTTTATTATTTTATTTATTTTTTTCACTATAAATAAGCTATACTATTGACATAGACATACAACACAACACAGAATATAACCAGTGAGCGTCTCACTCTCCAGAGGATGGAGAATGAATAGCTATATGTATAGAGAGAGAGAAAGAAGCATAAGCTTCACCAAGTGCAGAATACTCACTTCAGCTTCCCTTCTCCTTCTTCTCAATTCGTAAGCTTTTCTTCCGAGTCTCTCTTTATTTCTCCTTTTCAGTTTGGTTGGTATGTTTTTGTTTCCTTTCGAGTTTTTTCTTGCATGGCCATAATTTATGTATTTATTCTTGTCAATTTCAGGGCAGAAAAAACGGGGATATAGAGGTATGTGGGATTGCTATCAATGCAAATTTTCAGTTATCTTTTTTTGTTTTTTTAATTAAAAAGATTGTTTTTTATGGAACACCACACTCTTTGAATTTGGATATGACCGTTGTCATTTTGATTTGATGGAATTTTGATTTTCTGTGCAATTCTCTAAACTCCCCCGCTTGTTTTTTCTACCCAGATTCCCGCTCTGGATCACCTTTTAAGATCCGATATGAAAATTCTCGACTTTTGTAAGGCTGTGTTGTGTCTGGATTTTCGGTTGTGATTGTTGTCTGTAGCAGACTGGTATGTATGCCACTCGGCTGCTCAAAGCCGTGTCTTCAATCTCTGTGTGAATGCAGTAAATCATGGAAGCATTTTTGTGTGATTCTGCATTCTTTTCCGTCTTTGTTAGGAAGCTTTAATTGGTGAAGGTTCTTTAAATGTCTTGTTTTTGTGGTTTTCTATTTAATAACCATTTGCATGTTTGTATAGGTTATTAAATTTCATGTCTAATGGATATGCTGCTGGTAAGAATTTTTTACGCTCATGTGGCTAAGTTAGAACACTGTTATTCTACTGACTCATTGATATTCATTTTTTGAGGGATAAGAAACTAGCCTACTTTTTTTTTTGTTGTAATCAGATTCATAATTTACATCCAAATATTGGAGAGTCCAACCTTTCTCGTTGCAAGGGACGGGCCAAATTCATGTGAGCAGGAGAATCAATGGTTTACAGTACTTTTTGGTAGAAGGAGCTATCAAACAATAAGCGCCCACTGGAAGAAGACGAAAAACAAGCTATGCCAAGAATGTCATCCAGACTTTCAGATGATCCCGAGCAAGGCCAAGGTAATGGCCAAAATGGTGCAGCTGCGGAGTCTAAATCAAGTTTGCTTATTCCCGAACTTGGTTGGGATTTGTCAGTCTATTGTCTCGCACGTTTGCGGAGGTGTGATTATGGCTCAATTGCCTCATTGAACCGTAGTTTTCTATCTCTCGTTCGGAAAGGAGAACTGTATTCTCTTAGGCGAAAATTAGGTATTGTAGAATATTGGGTTTATTTCTCGTGCAATATCCTTGAATGGGAGGCATTTGATCCGAATAGTGGCCGTTGGATGCACTTGCCTAAAATGGTTTCTAATGAATGCTTTATGTGTTCAGATAAGGAGTCGTTGGCTGTTGGTGTGGAACTTCTTGTTTTTGGGAAGGAAATTATGGCTCCTATCATTTATAAGTACAGCATTTTGACGAACAGCTGGTCATTTGGTAAAGAAATGAATACTCCTAGATGCTTATTCGCTTCTGCCAGCCTTGGAGCAATTGCCATATTGGCTGGTGGTTGTGATCCACAGGGCAACATCTTGAGTGCAGCTGAGCTTTATGACTCACTTACTGGAACATGGGAGACTCTTCCAAACATGAATAAAGCAAGGAAAATGTGTTCTGGTATTTTTATGGATGGGAAATTTTATGTCCTTGGCGGGATTGCAGAAGGTAACACAAAGCAGCTAACATGTGGTGAGGAGTTTGATTTGAAGACAAGAACATGGCGTGAAATACCTGACATGTTCTCTCCACGAAGTGGAGAAGCAAGGGTGAATGGGATACTACCTGCAACTGCTGAGGCACCCCCTTTGGTTGCAGTTGTAAATAATGTATTGTATGCTGCAGATTATGCACAGCAGGAGGTAAGGAGGTATGTCAAAGAGAGTAATTCATGGGTCACCATGGGAGGACTTCCTGAGGGAGTATCGTCTGTATATGGCTGGGGATTAGCATTTCGGGCATGTGGAGATCAACTAATAGTTATTGGTGGGCCTAGTACTCTTGGCGAAAGGATGATTGAAATTCATGGTTGGGTCCCAGATGAAGGTGCACCACAATGGAATCTGCTTGGCAGAAAGAAATCAGGGAGCTTTGTGTATAATTGCACAGTGATGGGATGCTGAGGTGTTTGCTTTTGATGAATAGGGCTTTATGGATTTCTTCTGAGTGGAATTAACCATTATTCTTTTTAGAAGGAGATAGGTTCTGACTCATGGGGTAATATCTGCCTCTCTTTTGGGGGAAATTTCAGATCTTATTTAAAATCATAGATATAGTTTTAGGTTTACAGATCAGTTGATGTTTTCATTTCCATTTTATTTGGCCTGGTCTTTTCATTTGAATGACCATTAGAGCCATTTCAAATGTTGGCAACATGTAGGCACAGTTATTTGTATAAGTTCAATTAAAGCAAAGCAGAATTGTAATCGGTCATGGTTTCATCTTGTTTACTTTCACATTCCTTTTTCTATCTAGATATTTGTCAAGGACTAACTCTTCTAAAAGCTTAAGCTTCTAAGTGAATGACTTTCCTTTTAAACACACACACACAAAGGGCTTTTTGAGCTTGAAGCATGGACAATGTGCAGGGATATACAAACTTGGACTAAAATTTAACCTTTTTATCATCTACTTGATCAAAGAAACATAAACACCATATCAAGGATCAACGCTAATGTCTTCCCAAACCCTGTTTACACTGCCATTATCTCACTGCTTCATATCTGGCTTCGTATCTTGTGATAAGACATAAGATTGAAAAAGTAGGAAAAGCATTTTTCTCAAATCTCCTGTTTTATTAATTCTTTCTAATTGAGCCACTCAATCCGTCGATATGTCTCTAGAAGTAGAAAAAATTACAATCCCCGCCCCTCCTAAAATTAATTCTAAGGAATCATTGATAATTAAAATATATTCATAGGGCCAAGCGTATTGATCTATTTTAAATTTTAAAAGGTTTATATAGTCTGTTTCTCTTTCTTTTATATTGTCGTGTTAAAACTAATATATATTTCTTATGTTTTCAAAAAAACCCTCTCGTAAAAATATTTTACGTCTTTTTGTTTCAGATAATGGTGTTTAGTTGATCATGCAAGTTATATCAGTATGTTTGACAATAATCATTGTTGTTCTACTTCTGTTCTATACAACTAATCAAATTATGAAAATGTTTTCAATTTGATTAACCATCAAAGACCAAGAAATTATAGGTTACACTATTTGGTGTGTTTGATAAGGAAAATAGGTAGGGCTTTATCTTCTGCCAGTGTGAGTCCAGCATATTTGGTGTAAAAGGATTTGTAATTCAATTAACTTGATGTGGGGGAATGCCTTTTTCTTATTCAACAAGACAACCGGTATGGAAATTCGAAGCAGGAATATATGCTCATGTCTTTTGCGTGTGTGTTTGCATGCATTTTATTTGTGTGTGGAGATGAGTTATATAGTTTATAATTTTTTCCATATCCGTTTTACACCAATAATATGCAAGTTATATTGAAAGAGAAAATGTTAGCCTAGTTAAGAAACTAGGCAAATATGGCATGAACAAGTAGTGTGAATCAAGGGAAAGTGTATGAGTATGTCAAATGACAGATGAATGTTAGCTTATTCTTTGATGTAAGTGCTGAAGCTTGTCTAACTAAAGTGCCTGCAAATTTTCATTGCACCTCCAAAGACTCCTTTCACGGTTGGTAAGGGATGAGCTATAGTTCCCATTTTATTCTTGCTTGAATTATTGTGTGAGGATCTTCTGGCTCTCAGTAGAATAATTGTGCCCAATTTTTCTCCAAACCATTTTTTTATTCATTTTTGTCTCAACATAGCCAGGTAGTAAGCTTCCGGAGGCCTTGCTATCATCTGCTTGCTTCAGTGGGTGATAGTGATCTAATTCTCTAAATTTCAAATCATGTCTATATATTTGATCATGCTCATTCTATATCATGGAGCTGCATTAACGATTATGGTTTTTGTTGTGCAGTATCAATGACTAGATTCATTAACTCATTCACTCAACAACATTGATTTATTTTAGAAAATTTTTGTTTATTAACATCGAACTTTTCTTAAAACATCCCTTTTGACTATTGTTTCCTTCTTTCATATTATTGATATATTTATTGGAATTTATTGTGTGATTTACATTTATATGGATGAGATGTTGTTTCAATATAATCATAACTCTTCTGAATTTAAAGAATTTGGTAATTTTAGGATTTTTTATTTACTTTTCATGATTTATCAAGATAGAGTTGATAAGGAGAGTATCCAGGAAAACAGTCTTCTAAAATCTTGATACAGTAAGTCAGATTGAAATTGTTTATGTAATTTAACAATTTGCAAATGTTGTTAAGGCTTTCTTCTATATTACCCATCAATTATGCTTTTTTAGAACTTATAATGTAGCACAATAGACTTGGTCTGAATTTTGAAGGCATGAAGAAATAAAAGGAGTTAATTCCTTTACATAGAATAATTTACTGTCAGCAGCAAGCAATGCTAAAGTATAATTTCTTAAGAAAATTAAAGATCTAGATATAGAATAAGATCTGTATTCTGGATTTAACAAATAGGCTGATGCTATAGATCTGGTATCATAGACTCGATTCATGACAGATGCATTGAATGGGGCCTTCAACTTGTAGTGAATTTCAGAAATTACAATCTTCAGAGCTTTTATGTTTCGGTTTGGCATAATACTGGGATGTGTCCAGTTTGTATGAGTGATATGCTATTTTGTCAGTGACTTAAGCTGTTTCATACCAATGGCATGTACATTTCTTGGTAATATATATCTTGTTTGGAAGTTTTTTGTGCTCACAGTCAGATACTTGCATATGTGCTTGTGAGAGAGATTATCCTCCTTTATCTACCTGTGAAAAAATGACATGTTTCTTGAATCTTGATTAGTGTAAAGGTTAATCTTTCTTCTCACTGTGTGTAAATATAATTATATATGATAAATTATAGTGCTTTGAAGAATAAGAGAGTATTTTATATTTTCTTACACGTAATATTTATTATCGTTAATTTTGTATTAATAAATAATAAGATTAATAATTTATTTGAAAAAATATATAAATACTATTTCATTTTTCAGACGAGGGAATACAATGCCTCTTCAAATTAAGGATCACCTTACCAAGCACCATTATATATTATTCCTTTGTGCAGCTGAAGCATTTCTTTAAGCTAATTACCATTATACCCTCATAAATAGGTGCTACGGTGCTTTCTTGTCAAACCAGGATCCGCATCACCTATGTTCAATCTGCAGGTTTCCTTGTCTATTTCTCTTGCTCCCTTGATAGTATTTAATCTGCTGACGTGGCTTTAGCCGCTAACTTGTTTTTTTTATTTTATTTTTTCCAATTCATCAATGTAGGTTACTCTTGGAGAACAAGGGATCCAGGAACAAGAACACAGAATTTCAAAGAGTAGTTTTACAGTTGCTGAGTACTGACACTGTAAACCCCACACCCCACCCAAAAAAAAAAGCTTCTTGGTTGGCCAATACAAGAGATGTCTTTGTGGGCTGTACAAGATGATGATTTAACTTTGTTGAAGACAACATGGAAAGTACAAAATACGAGTAAAAGGAAATAGATTGTGAAGTGAGGCCCACTTTCCTGTGTTGGAAAAATGTTTCAGTGGTCACGTGGGTTGTTGATCTCATTCGCTTCCCTTTGCTCGTACCTGTTGCCTTCTAGTTTGTACTTTGTATCTGTACTTCGCTTTTCTCGCGGTTTCTTCTCGCTTCGGACTGTCGTAACGTATGAGGTCGTTGCAGAAAAAAACAAAGACGAAAAGGATACCCGAATAGTTTAAAGAAAAAGAAACGGAAAACTAATAAAAGAAACTTGAACTTGCACTGTTGGTGGAACTTAGGAAACTCGTTACATTTGTGGAAAAAACAGTAAGGGTATATGCTTGAGAATTTAGAAGAAAAAACTAAAAGAAACACTTAAAGAAGGAAAGATATATATTACATAGGTTAATTAATGTTATTTTCATGTTTGAATGTGTAAAATTATTTAATCAACATCGTCCTCAAACAAGGAAAGTTTAAAATATTCATTGCGTGTTTGGAACATTTGATTTTACATTAAATTTAATATTAATACAAAAGCTACCTCTTGTAGCAATCAAAAGTGAACGTGTTTCCCATGCATCTGACGTGGTTACAAACACAGGGTAAATGAGGTTGGGAGAGTTAAATTTAATATTCCATTTTATTAACCTCACTTTAAAACCACTAGACGATAGGCATGGTAAGTTTACGTAAAACCCTCAGTTTCCCCTCCAAAGCACAGACCAGACTGATGGAGTTTCCGGTTAGTCCATAATTTTGGCTTACATGTTACTGTTGGCAAGCACTCTAAAGTAAACAAGATTAATTGTATCTCCTTTTAAATATTAACTAATTGATATTGCAATGCATTTTAATTTAAATTGTTGATAAATATGTCTTATTCAATATAAATACAATTTTTTTATAGTGAGTGTTATCTTTTTCTATGGTTCAAAGTAAGTGTTAGTTCATTCTATTTATTTACTAATTATTTAATTTATTTATATATAAATTTAACTAACTATTCAATTATACACATAAAAATAAATAGATAGATTGGATTGGATTATTGTTAGATAAATAATAAAACATCTATAATATTGAATGTTTATAAATATTAAATTTTATTTTATAAAAATATTGTAAATATATATATAATATATTTTACATGGATGGGTTGTATATTCATCCATAAAATGGTAAATGAATAAGTTGGATGGAATTTTATTATAATTAAGTTATATGGACTGAATTTTTTAACACATTTTTAATAGATAAAATGGATGGATAGTTTATTTTTTTTATCCACGTATTATGATTCGGTTTAGATTTATCCATTCCATCTATTTGACACCCCTAATTTAATTAGGTTAAGAAAAGAATATAACTTGAGTCTTGGTGATTGGCATATATCTCAAGTGACCTTCCATTAGTAAATAGGCTTAATGTTTCGTTTAATTTCCCTACTACAACTTTTGAATGCTAAACCCTAAACTATTGAATACTCGTACAACTACGTAAATAGTTAAGTATGCGACCTTTCAGTTGGGGTTA